ATAACGATCAATATGGACAGTAGGACAACATTATACTAAAAGGGAAAATGTCCAGGTGAAATTGTGCCAAAAGAAGCTTGAGGATACTAGGCTACCTGCGTGGAACTTTGAGAGTAGCTTTGTACTTTCACCTAATAATATTTAAAGGTGAGGATTAACTGATCCCTTATTGGAAAATAAGTCATGTTATTGTTATATTGGGATGGACAAGTTGATAGAACCTTTCAAAGAATTTTGATTCCTATAAAGCAAAATTTATATGTGATGTTATTTCTTGAGTTTCAAATATTTTATTTTATTGATTATTTAATGTCATATTAAGATTATAATTGTAGCTAGAAGCATACAATAAATAAAAAATTTCCTTAGTAAACTAGAAGTTACTATTAACTTAGTATAGTATACCAAAAGATACTAACATTATTTGGCATGACCGATTAGATCATCCCAAACAAGTATTGAAGCAAAGTATTATTTGGCATGAGATTATTGCTAGCTATGATTAGGCTTGGATCCTAGACATTTATAAAATATATTAAGTTGATATGAGATCATTTAGGCACCATGTGAACCATACAAGTATATAATGAAATTATAGATGCATTTACAAGATGGTCACATGGGTTTATATTAATCATTTCACAACTTGAAGTTTGTGAGGAAAAAATGTATTATGCACACAATTTTTAAGTCTCCACCATCGTTTATGAAATAGACATTCTAATAAAGTTGGGAGTAGATGTTGGGTAACATACTTCTATAGAAAACAAATGGATATGCGAGGCTTATACTGCATTTTAGTCCAAAATGAGGGGGAGATAAATAATAGCCGAAAATGAAAATACATGAATGCATTATTTATATTTCTATAGATCCTCATATATATATATATATATATAAATGAGAAAGAAGTTCATAAAATGTTGGATTCATGAAATATTAGAAAATAACTACTAGAGACAAATATTAATGTAATGAAAATTATTTAATTCATGTTCTAGTTGGCCTGTTTGAAATTTCAATGAAAAAATTGAATCTCACTTGAACGTGAAAGACAAATTGGTTCCAAAGATTAAAAAATCTTATATAAAGAGGAAAAAAAGGAGCATATCATCAAGATGATCATATTAAAGGGGGTTGACATTCTATAAGAGGCTAAGACATAATTGATTTTAAGTCTCTGGAAGAGGATCAGGTACTTGATAACAATAAATACATCTGAAGTTGTTATGTTAATATGAGAAATTATGGAATTGAAAAGTATAAAGTTGTTAAGAAGAATTTCAATGAGAATGGAAAATTAAAATCAAATGAGGATCTTGATTGAATGTGGGTAGAAAGCTTTTCAAATCAAAGAAAAAAGATGCAATACAAGTAGATTTATATTATTCATTTGTTCACGATATGAAAGTTGTGAACTTATAGTTCAAGCATATTAAGTGTAGTATTATACATGAGCATTTATGTGAAAGAGAAATATGAAATGTCACATGCAAAGCTTAACTTTCAATATAAAGATTAAATATATGTATTTTTATATATCATATCATGGTAGATGAAATTATATTTGGACATACTACTAGTATGGCAATATAGAAATTTGACGAGTCTAACAAATGCTAACTTATTTATGTGGCCCTTTGTATAGTGGTATTTACTTGAAATTTTCAAGAGAATTCAAGATGACAAAACCTTATAAAGATCTTTAAGAAATTTTCTTTGTTGTTCATATGATTATATACATATTGATTTGCACCAACATTGACTGATTTTAACATTATTGACTATTCTAAAATTTTTATATAAAGCACTTGATTGTTAAATAAAGATGTTAAAATGCTGGATAAGTAGAATCAAGATCATTTTTCCTTCAAGAGAATGATGAAATATAGTCTTGGAGCACCATAATGAATACTTTCATATCACAATTTATGTTATTGCATTTTTTTTTTTTTGCAATGAAGTTATGTATTTGATGTGATATGTAATATACATGTCCGATTTGAACCACATGGGTTGACCTCTAAGGGGTTATTTATTTTTTAAAATACATGTATATTATGATTATTTATTAGTAACTCTTATTGTTATATACTCTAAAAAATATATGACAAGTGGAAAATATGTTCATATCCAATATAAATATATATAGAAGACATTTCAAAATATTATATGAAAGCAATGATTCATGTATATAGTCCATCTGTAAGAGAATATCAGCTCACAAAGACATTGCCAACAATAATATTCAAGAGATTGACACACAAGTTTACGATACAATGGCTCAAAAAGACTCAAGAGCAAAAAGTGATATCATCATTAAAGGAAGTATTTGTTATGCTATACTCATTTTCCCTTAACCAATTTTTTATTGTGACATCCTAAATTTTATTTAGGGATTTAATTGCAGAAGTTGTGGATAATAGAGGAAATTTAATTTAAGAAATTATTTTTAAATGAAAAAAATATGTGTACTTGAGGATTTAATTAAGGAAATGTGTTTATTTGAGGATTTAATTGAGAAAATGTGTTTGTTTGAGGATTTAATTAAAGAAACATGTATTTTGAGAATTTATGTTTATTAAGGTTTATAGATGTTAATTAATTATTTAGGCAACTAGTAATGATTGAAATTGGGCCTAAGATCATGTATGGGGACTATTTGACCAGATTAGGCCCAAAGTATTAGGTTTAAGTTGGATTTTTTATCACTATACCATGTGCCATGGCACATGACACATTTTTAGATTTTATTGTATGTTTGAAAAACAAACTGAATAGAGGTGAGGATTAGTGGATTAATGGTAGTTTTGAGTAGCAAATTGATATTTGTGTTGTTACGTTGATGTGTGAATAGTATTAGGAATAATATTATGGTTAGAAGTGAAGTGCATTGGCTAAAGTGAGAAGAGTCTGACTATGCCATGAGCCATAGCATGTGATGCATACACCTCTCATTTGACTTAAATAAATGCCAACTCATGAAGATCAGAAGGAGAAGAGGGTAAAAATGTGCATGAGAGAGGAAGAAAAGAACTGGTGTGCTAGGGCATCGATTTTTAGAAGACTGGGAGTTAGCTCCAACGAGTGACTTACCAGGTAAGTTTCATATTGTCTTATGTTTCAATTCTACCTAGTTTCTCTTTGTTGATGTAGAGAATTTGAATTAGGGACTTTTAAAGGGTTGTTTTCTTACCTCATTAGTATTAAAAAGAGTTTTTAGTGGAAAACTAAGGTTTTGTGACTAGTTTGGTGTTTAATGACTAAGCCTTAGAGATACAAGCTCAAATTGACATGAATTAAAAGGTTCTAAAAGGTAACAGTGCTTGTTAAATGTAAGAAAAGAGTTTTTTTGGTCATTTTAATGGCCCAAGTGTGTGAGATTATGGGGGACGTGTTAAGTGAACCCTAAGAAGTGTAAATGATATAAGTATGAGTACTATGTAATATGACTTGGCCAGATTTAGTATTTTAGATTGAGTTTGGAAGCTAACTGAGGGCACTTGTTATGTAGATTGAGTAATTTAGGATTGCTCATAGAAATCTACAAATCACAATGTGCCATAGTGCAAATGGCAACCTTTGTAAAAAAGGTGTGAGGTAACTTGATAAACTCTTCTATCAATTGGCTTATAAAATTATTTACAAGTTATTTATATAAATTAAAAGTATGTAACAAATATGTTCTATCAATTTTCCCATAGTTATCTTTTGCATTTCGGGCAAAATCAAGTAAAAAATGTCCCAAAAGAAACTATAAGACAAAGAAACAAGAGAAAAATAATGTTCAAAGTCACTAAAATACTAGCTCATGAACTTTTAAAAATTATCAATCAATGTGGCAATAATTAGGAAAGAATTATGCACATCACTAACAAATCCTTAACAAGAATTAATGTCAAAGTGTAAGCCTCTCTAGGTTAAGTGTTTGCTCTCATCACTCAAGTATTAAATTTCACTCAAAATTTCTTAAGATAAACCCTACCATAAATTTGTAACCCTTCTACATCTCCATCATTAAATAGCACTTGCAATCAAGAATCAAGTGGACTTTATTAGGTTGTAATATGGGTAATGAAAGGATGTCTAAGAAATGGATGTATGAAAAAAAATAGGGTTAGCATCAAAATAATGCTAAAGTCAAGATACATCCCCTTAATATGCAAAGCATAACCTAATTTAATTGAGTGGCCACCTTAACATAATGAGGATGGAAAGTAATGACAAGAATTAATAAAACAAATGGAATGGATGACCTAGACAACTTTTTATTCTTTTCTTTCTTTTCTTCTTCTTTTTATTTCTTTTTCTAGCAACTTTATTTCTTTTCTTTTTGACTATATTTTTTTTTTCAAATCTATCTTTGTTTTTTTTCTTTTTTCTTTTGGTTGTCCCTAACTCTTTGAAAGCAATGGAAATAATAGATGTAATGGTGTAACAATAAAGGATAAAGAGTAATGGATAGAAAAATGATAATAGGCATCCACTCACTTGATCTAGGATATGCAATGAATATTAAAAAGATATATAAAGTGTAACATGCATTCCTTGAAAAAAATAGGGTGAATATTTATTTTTAATAATCAAACCAAAAGCTCGAAGTGGCTAACAAAGGATAATCAATAATAATAAGTTGGCTATTTAGCTCTTGGCTATTTTTTATGAATGCCATCTTTCATCTCCTATCAAACAAGTGCAAGATATATGGTCTCAATTAAGAAGTGAAACAAATTCTAGAGGGTAACATCACTAAAGTATTAATCACACATGAGTGTTTAGCCTCTTTCATGAAAAGGTAATGTGCCACTCTAATCCATTAATTCAAGATAAAAGAATATTCACTTTACACCTATTCAATCCTAAAAATTACCCCATTTCAAGCATCAAAAATATTCATTCAAGAGCTAGGTAATTAATAACCTCAAACAAAAGAAAACAAAACAAAGAATTTTTTTTTTCAATTCAACCTAACGAGCGCTTCTTTCTTTTTCATTTTCTATTTAAGCAAAGTAACGCTTGACAGCATCCACATTAATAGGCTTTGCTAACTCTTGACCGTCCATGTCAGCTAGGATCAGTGCTCCTCCAGAAAAGGCATGTTTAACAACATAGGGTCCCTCATAGGTTGGAGCCCATTTGCCTCTATTATCTTCTTGGTTAGGTAATATTTTCTTGAGCACAAGATCACCAGCGCTGAATTCTCATGGGGCAAAGTTTTTTATCAAAAGCTCCTACCATTCTCTTTTGGTATAATTGTCCATGACACATCACAATGAGCCTTTTCTCTTCAATTATGTTAAGTTGCTCAAATCGAGTTCGTACCCATTCATTTTCTTTTAAATCTACCTCTGCCAATACTCTTAAGGATGGTATTTTCATCTCAATGGGTGTGACAGCTTCCATTCCATAAACAAGGGAGTATGGGGTTACCCCTATGGATGTGCGTACAGTAGTATGATAACCATGTAAAGCATAAGGAAGCATCTCATGCCAATCCTTATAAGTTACTATCATTTTTCTAATGATTTTCTTAATATTTGTATTGGCTGCTTCAACTGCTCCATTCATTTGAGGTCTATAAGGGGCTGAATTATGATGCTTGATTTGGAACTTTTTGCAAAAGTTTCTGACTTCTGTTCCATTGAGATTGGGATCATTATTAGTAATGATCCTTTCAGGAATCCCATATCAGCACAAAATATTTGTCTTCATGAATTTAAGGAACGTCTTTTGCGTGATGCTAGCAAATGAATTTGCTTCTACCCATTTTGTGAAATAGTCAATCGTGACAAGAATGAAGCGATGTCTATTTGAAGCTTTTAGGTTAATTAGACCAATAATGTCAATTCCCCACATTGAGAATAGCCAAGGTGATACCAAATTATGTAATGGGATTGGAGGAGCATTTATCATATTAGCATAGATCTGACATTTGTGGCATTTCTGGACATGCTCAAAGCAATCTTTCTCTATTGTTAACCAGAAGTAGCCACACCTTTGAATTTGTTTGGCCATAGTGTGACCATTTGCATGCGTGCCACATATGCCCTCGTGTACCTCAACCATGATTTTCTTTGCTTCTTATAAACTCACACAGCGAAGTAAGGTACCATCATAACCCCTCTTGTATAGAACATCTTTACTGATAAAGAATGTCATAGCCAAACGATGAAGGGTTTTCTTTTCATTCTCAATCATTCCAGTTGGGTATGATCTCTTAGTGATATAGTCCTTAATATCCTGAAACCAAGGATATTCTTCTTGACCTTCTTCAACATTCAGACAGTATGTTGGAAAGCTTCTAGCTTCTACTTGAATGGGTTGGACATGGACTCCACAATCAAGTTGGATCATTGCTGCTAAAGTGGCTAAAGCATCAGCGAAACAGTTTTTATCTCGAGTCAAGTGATGAAAGCTAACAACCTTAAATAGCTTAATCAAATCTATTAGGAGTTCTCGATCCATTTTACATCCTTCGTTCTCCATTCTCCTATTACGTGATGAATAATGAGAGCTGAACCACCAAATAGCTTCAAACACTATATACCAAGGGTAATAGCTGCTCGAAGACCATTAACACAAGCTTCATATTCTGCTATGTTATTAGTACAATCAAATTCTAATTTGATGACCACTGGAAATTGTTTTCCTTCTGGTGAAACGATCACTGCTCCTACCCCATTTCCATGCATATTGGCGGCTCTATCAAAATACATTTCCCATTCTTGCTCTTCATCATTTTGGTCATCACAATCTTCTTCTATAGTGCATATGCCTTTATCAGGAAATTGAAAATCTAATGGTTGGTCATCCTTTAAAGGATTATCGGCTAAGTGATCTGCTATCGCACTACCTTTAACTGACTTTTGCATCACATGCTTTATATCATATTCAGATAGTACAACTTGCCATTTTAGTACTCTACCTGCAATGTGCGGGCTCTAAAAGATGTACTTGAGTGGGTCCACTAGCGAGATTAGCCAGGTAGTATAGTAAAGCATGTATTGCCTTAGCCTTTTAGTTGCCTATACTAGTCCACAACAAGTTCACTCAATCATTGGATAACGAGCTTCATACTTGTTAAACTTCTTGCTCAAGAAATAAATTGCTCTTTTCTTCTTTCCAGAATCATCACGTTGACCTAGCATTACTCCCATTGAGTGAGGTAAAGTTGCCAAGTAAAGGATTAGTGGACGATCTGGTGATGGAGGGACTAAAATTGGGGGATTTAACAAATAATCTTTAATTTTATTAAAGGCCTTTTGACAATCATCATCCCATGTCTCCTTGCAATTTTTCTTTAACAGCTTAAACATCAGTTTGCAAGTAACTGTTAAATTGGCAATGAATCTAGCAATGTAATTCAATTGTCCCAAGAAACTTCTAACTTCTTTCTCTATTTAGGGAGATGGTATTTCTTAAATTGCCCTCACTTTATCTGGATCTACTTCTATCCCTTTACGACTCATAATGAATCCCAATAACTTCCCAAAAAAAGCTCCAAAGATGCATTTGTTAGGATTCAATCTTAGCCGATATTTGCGCAATCTCACAAATAGCTTTCTAAAGACTCCAACATGACTCTCATTCTCTACTAATTTAGCTACCATATCATCTACATATACTTCAATTTCTTTATGCATCATGTCATGGAATAGTGCTACTATAGCTCGTTGATAAGTTGCCCTAGCATTTTTCAAACTAAAAGGCATCACTCAGTAACAATAAGTTCCCCATTGGGTTGTAAAGTTGTTTTCTCTTTATCCCTTTCATGCATAGGGATTTGATTGTACCCTGAATAACCATCCATAAAGGAATAGCGATAGCTTTGAGCAGTATTATTGACCAATACATCAATGTGGGGTAATGGAAAATCATCTTTCAGGCTTGCATTATTGAAATTACGATAATCAACACACATTCGAATCCGACCATCTTTTTTAGGAACAGGAACAATATTTGCCACCCATTGTGGGTAAGTTATTACCTCCAAAAATCCTGCTTCTAACTGCTTTATTACTTCTTCTTTTATTTACAAGGGCACCCTCGTATTCATTCTCCTTAACTTTTATTTCTTAGGCTCAACATTGGGAAGTAATGGTATTTTATGAGAAGCAATGCTTGGGTCTAGCCCAGACATATCTTTATAAGACCATACAAACACATCTATTTATTCTTTGAACAACTCAATCATTTGTTTCCTTTCAGGATTATCTATTATTTTAAGCATTCTTTGATCCTCCTCAGTTCCCATATTAACCATCTCAATCACATTCATGTGGGTATATTCCCTTATCACTCAATTCAAGCATCTTAGAAAAAGTTTGGATTACGTCTTCATCATCAGACTTACAATCATGCATATCAGTGGCAACGAGTGAATCATCTTCACAGGGTTTATCAACCTCTCAGTGAGAGATGGAATCAGAAGAAACAAAATCCCTGGATGATGAATATGGAATGAGATAAAAAGAAAGAACAGGAATGAAATGGGAAAAATGTATTGAAGTAGATAGGGTGGAATAAAGAGATAAACATGAATGCAATTGAAATTCATTTTCATAAATTACGTGCATCAAAAGTTTGCATTTGAGAATACCCAAGATCTATTACCTAAACTTGGGCTCAAAAGTGGATAACAAAATAGGAACAACATAATTGAAATAATTACTCTAGGCTAATGACATCATTGGCCTCTTCAAACTCCCAATTCGCCAGAACTTTGCTAGAATCATCGATTGCAATTGAGGCACTTGTTCCACATGCTACATCTTTATTAGAAGAGATCACTAAGATAGTTAGTTCACATATCACCTTGGACGGGCCTGGGAAGGATTCTTTGATGTGTGGAATCTCTAATTTACTGGCCTTTTTGCCTTTCGCTAAACTTGCTTTGTCTTTCATCTGGTCTTTTAGGGTAGGCTCATACCTTAACCCTTGGCAATTACAATTATCCAAAACCTTAATTGGACATGTAATTCCTTATAAATGAGAGCCTAAACCTTTCCCTAGCATAAACCCACTCTTTGTTATGATTTTAGCCACAACAGAATTGATGTTATGAGTATGGTCACAAATACCCTCAACCTCCAAGCTTTGAAAGGAAACTCCATGATCCTTCTCTGCAGCCTCAATATAAAGGAGTGAGCTTAGTTTTCTCACCATGATTTCCTCCTCTCCTTTAACTATTATAATTCCCCCATCACTAATAAACTTAACCTTTTAGTGTAGGCTAGAAGAAACAGCCTTAGCAGAGTAATCCATAGCCTTCCTAGCAGCATTGTATAGCTTGGGTCTATGTTCATGAGTTGGAAATCCACCTTAAATATGTTTGGTCCTATCTCCAGGGGGAGACAAATGGATCCTAATACTTCCTGTCTTGATCCATCAAATGCTCTTACCACAATATTGCTTTTGTGTACACTTAAAGTTTCTAGTGATAATGATTCAAATGTGGAGAGTGGCAAGACATTTAATGTTGATCCTCCATCAATCAATACTCTTGCGATTATGAACCCTTCACATTTCAAAGTGATATGTAAAGCCTTAGTTTGGTGGACAGCAGTTTCTGTAACTTCTTCTTCTAAAAAGGAAATGGTAAAGGAGGCTTTTACAACATTCATCACACTTGCCACCTTCTCAGGGGTTATATTAGGCTGCACAAAAGCTTGATTCAACACTTCTTGCAATGCTTGGCGATGCGCTTCAGAATTTAAAATCAAAAGAAAGTATCGAGATATATGCTGGAGTTTTTTTCAATTGGTCCACAATGATGAAATCACTTTGCTTCATAATCGATAAAAACTCATCTTCTAATTTTTCCATTTCTTTGGGATTATCTTCCTTTGGCCTGTCAACATTTTCATTTTTCTCTCTTACCATTTTCCTAATGTAAGATGGTAAGTATGGTTTTCCACTTCGAGTAACACCCCCTGGGTTTGTTATTTCATTGCTTGTCTTGGCAATCAACGTTGGGTTTTTATGGTTCTCCACAATGCTTTGATATCTCCACGGGACTGCTCGATCACTTTCATAGGGAAAGGGATGAGGCGTGCTTGTGATCAATGTTGGTTGTCTTGTGTGAGGTGCAAGATCTACAGAGGCTTTATTGATCACAAAAGAGACTACTTGGACTTGCTCTTTTGGGCTTGAATTTTTAATAACAAGCTCAATACACCTTTTCTCTACCATGCACACTTTAGTGTCTCCCTTCTTTACAGACACAATCCCTAACACCATCATTTTTCTAACAGCTTCTTTAAACTCTTCACAACTTTTTATGTCATGGCCCATTTTCTCCTGATGATATTCACAGTATCCAGGCATTTGATCATTGATATTATCTATGAGGAGCATTTCTTGCATATAGCCATACTCCTTTAAGTCAGCATAAAGCTCATTCATAGGCATCCTGATCCTTGTAGAGCTTTTGAAACCCGCATCCTCTTCTTCAATAGCGTTGACTCGTTTTTCATGATTTGGAAGTGGATTAGTGGTAATGGTAGAGCTTCCCTCTTCTTTAAGCTGGATATGATTAGAATCAACTAGGTCTAGCACATTCCTTTTAAACGTCACATAGTCTTCTATTCAGTGTCCAGGTGTACTCATGTGGTATTCACAAACAGCATTTAGATTATACCACGTTGGGTAAGGCAGACCAAGAAGCTTATAAGGTTGTGGGCCTAATAATTAGGCTGCCAAAAGTTTATGGTACAATTAAGCATTTGTTAATCCAAAATTAGGCCATGGGTGACTATCCCTGGATTGGATATTTTTCCTCTCTCCATCTTGCCCGTGCTTGTTAGGCCTGAATCTAAATTGTTGCTATCTTTGATTCCTTCCCTCTATTTGATAAGGGACTTGAGAACTAGTAGCTGCTTGTCTTAAAGGTTGAATATAGTTCACATTCCCTTCTTTCTTTTTTGGTCATGGTTCTTTCATGAACTACTTTCAGCTTGAGAAGTGGCTATCTTCCCCTCTCGTATGTTTGTGTCAATCCTTTCTCTAATTACTATTAAATTAGCAAAATCAGTGACATGTGTTCCTATCATATTTTGGTAAAATGGCTTTGGCAATGCACGGATGAAGTACGAGCAAAGTTCGGAATTCACCATTGGAGGTTGCACTTGTAAAGCCACTATTCTCCATCTTTGAGCATATTCTTTGAATGATTCTGATGATTTCTTAGTTATCGCTTTTAATTGTTCTCTGGTCAGAGCAGTATCAAGATTGAACTTGTATTGTCTTATAAAAACATCCACAAGGTCTTTCCATCTTTTAATCTTGGTTTGGTCTAGTTGCATGTACCAAGTCAATGCGGCCCAGTTAAGCTTTCAAGAAAGAAGTTTATCAAAAACTTCTCATCTTGTGACCATATGGACATCTTTATGCAATAAGCCCTCAAATGATAAATTGGGTTACTTGTACCATCATATTTATCGAAGTTTAGTATCTTGAATTTCTTGGGAACATCAATTTCTAGGGTC